GCTACCCTCGCATTCTCTATACCCGGCCTCTGAGGCCCTGCAGGTGACCACAGCCACGGGCTCCTTTGCCTCTAAAGGGTCGCCTTCACCCACCTAAAGGCCAGCTGTTCAGCTGAGCTAGCTGGCCTCCCAGCCCCAGCTAGACGGGCCCGAGTCAACTGGACAGCCTGACTGCATCTCTACCCTGGCCCCTCCCTTAGGTAACAACCCCCTCCCCAGTCAGATCAGCTCCCTAGTTCTGCAGTGAAAGACTGCCCTAGGGAACTGCCGTCGGCCAGGCAGGAAGGGGTTAACAGCCGCCGGGCTCTCTGAGAGCCAGGTGAGGCCCCGCCCATCTTGGCCTTCAGGTGTGTGTGGGTGGGGACGAGGAGGGACGCTGACCTTAAGGGTTGCCTTTTTTTCTTTTTTTCTTTTTGCCCCCTGGTGGCTCGATCTGGCTTAGCAGCCGCTGGCAAAAGTATGCTCACGTGGGGATTCGCGGAAGGACGCTGGAGTCAGCTCGAGTACTCCCCTTGCGCGAGGAGCACCTTCCGAGGGGAGAGGACCCAGCTGGGGAGCCTGGTGGAAGGAGGGGGCGACGCGATCCCGGCCATGCCACCCCCACTCTGCAGGCTGTCGCTGCCACGTCTGATCCCTGTCCTGGGGACTCTACCTGTGGGTTCTAAGTGCACAGACTCGGAAGAGAGCGGCTGGGGCGTGTGTGGGGGGGGGCAGGCTCTGTCTTCCCAGGGTCTCCAACTCACAGAGGGGAGTTAGTACAGCAGAAGCTGCCCCTCGCTTTTTCTTTCTCTGCCCGAGTTCCCAACTCCCTGCAGACCCCAGCATCGAACACAGTGCTCCCTCCCCTCCAACGCAGCTCTCTTCTGGGTTTCTCTCCCAGGGGGATTCTGGGTGCTCAAGCCACTCCCTGTGTGTGTGTCCCCAGCAAGGCCCATCTACCGAGACGTTCTCCCAAGTTAGCAAAGACCTTGAAGGGCTCTTTCGGTTTCTTCTCTCTCCTTTCAGCTGCCTTCTCTTCCGCTCCTCATTTCCGGTTGCCCTCTAAGATTTCTTCTGCACAGGCAGTCCTGTCGCCTGCCGCCTTGCCCCCTCCCAGGGCCCAGCCGTGCAGGTCGTGGTACCTGACTCAACGTCTGTCCTTTCCTCATCCGGAAGTCCCTCTCAGACTCACCACACTTACCGAGGAACTCCTCCCGGTCAGGCCCTGGACTAGACACCCAGTGTGTTGGTGACAAGATACACTGCCCTCACACAGCTGCAGTCGGAGACAAGCAAACAGGCACCGTGGGTTCAGTGCCATTGGGGTTGGCATACGTCGGAGAGACCCTATCCTGAACGTGGGAGGAGACTGGGCTGAGACCCTTCAGCCTCCCTGTGGTCTGTCTCACTGGAAGGTTGGAACAGGGGGACCAGCATGGTGGCATGGTGGTTGGTCTGGACTCCCACATGGCCCACCCTGGTGGGAGTCCTGGACCTGGCAGCTTCCTTTCTCACTTTCCCTCTCTCTCTTTCTCACTCTGTCCCTCTCTGGTCAAATTAAAAAATAAAATAAAGTGGTGGTGTGGTGGTTAAAGGTGCTGGAGTCCCATATGATCCACCGTGGTTGGAGTCCTGGACCTGGTGGCTTGCTTCCTCGCTTTCCCCTTCCCTCTCTCTCATCAAATTTAAATAATAGTAATAACAAATGGAATTAAATAAATAAATAATTTGTAAAATAAATAAATAAGTGGATAAATATAGTTAAAATAATTCTTAAAAGAAGAAAAAGGAGGGGACAGCACTGAACTCCCCCTGTGGTTTGAGTTCTGGACCTGGACGCTTGCTTTCTTGCTTTCTCTCTCTCTCTCTCTGGAAATTGTTTGTTTGGGTTTTTTTTAAATAATAAATAAAGTTTTAAAAAAATTTTTAAAAAGAGGGGCCAGCAGGTACAGTGTGGTGGTTAAACGCGCTGGACTCCCACATGGCTGACCGTGGTTCAAATCCTGGGCCTGACAGCATGCTTTCTCACTTTCTCTCTCTCTCCCAGTCTCTCTCTGTCCCTCTCTGGTCAAAATAAATAAAGTTAAATAAAATAATTCTTTTAAAAAAAAAATAAAAGAACAGACAGAACAGGGTCCCAGCAAGGGATCTCCACCAGATATTGTAAGAGATCTCAAAGGTGGGCCAGGAGGAGGCATGGTGAAGGTGGCTAGATGCCCACATGGCTAACAGTGGTTCGAGTCCTGGCCCTGGCAGTTTGGTTTCTCACCTTCCTTCTTTCTCTCTCTCTCTCTCTCTGATCAACTTCAATAAAAAAAAAATTTAAAAAATAAAAAAGAGATCTCAAAGGCTAAGTTTCCATAAATCCTAATTCCTTTTTTAAGCATTATTTAACTTTATTTACTTAATTCGACCAGAGAGTGTGTGTGTGTGTGTGTGTGTGTGAGAGAGAGAGAGAGAGAGATTGGGAAAGTGAGAAAGCAAGCCACCAGGTCTTGGACTTGAACCAACGGTCATGTGGGAGTTCAGCACCCTCAACCACCATGTCACTTGCCAGCCCCCATAAATTTCAATTCTAATAAGTTCTCCAAGTCCTGAAGTAAAGATCGGCCTGAAGTATGGCCAGAGTATGACCTTGACCTGATCACTCCAGTTCTGTGGGCCTAGGTTTCTTTAAATGTTAAAAGGAGGGTTGAGTGAGCATTTATCTTGACGCTAGGGACTACACAGCAGACCTGTTGAGAGAAGCACAGTCCCCCAGCTCTGATCTGCACCTGGAGGACAGAGTCAGAGACAGAGAAAGACAGCCATCACTTCCTGGTCCTCTCACTGCCTAACTGGTCGGACAGTTCTGAGTCCCAGAAACATTTAACTTTAAAAAAAAAAAAAAAACAAAGAATTATGGGGGCCAGCAATGGCATGGTGGTTAAAGGCACTGGATTCCCACATGGTCTCAAACTGTGGTTTGAGTCCCAGACCTGGTAGTTCACTTTCTGGCTTTCCCTTTTTCTCTCTCTCTCTCTGACTCTGTCTAGTCAAATATTAATAATAATAATAACAACAAATGGAATGAAATAAATAAATAATTATTTTAAAAATTCTATTTATTGTTATGATTTTTAAATTTGATATAGGGCACATGCACTCACCAGAGCAAGACAGAGAGAGAGAGAAAACAAGAAAGCAGGTCACCAAGTCCCGAACTCGAACTATGGTGGGCTATATGAGAGTCTCTTAACCACTATGCCACCTGGCCCCAACATTTAATTCTTGCCACTAGCTGAAGGCAAGAGCCTTTCTAACATGTGCTAGGATGCTGGGAAGAGGGAGTCTTGGGGACGGCACTAACAGAATGTATTTCTTTTTCTTTTTTCTTTTTTTTTTTTTTAAGAATTATTTTAGGCAGGACCAGCAGTTAGTGTAATGGCTATGTTGCTGGACTCCCATGTAGTTGACTGTGATTCAAGTCCTGGACCCGATGGCTTAAACTCACATTGGGCGCATGTGCGTGCATGCCCAAGATCCCGAGAGAATGGAGGAGGAGGGATTGCAGAGTGGCCATCCTCCCCTGGGGGGTGATTTCTCGCTTTCTGTCTCTCTGTCTCTCTCTGTCTTTCCAGTGAGCATACGTGCCCTATAGCAAAAAGTTCTCCAAAAAAATATTATTATTATTATTTTAGGGGCCAGCAGTTGGTGTAATGGCTATTTCGCTGGACTCCCATGTAGTCAACTGCAGTTCAAGTCCCGGACCTGGTGGCTCAAACACACCTGGCGCTTGTGTGTGCGTGCCCAAGATCCCAAGAGGAGAATGGAGGAGAAGGGATTGTGGCATGGCCAACCACTCCTGAGGGGTGATTTCTCGCTTTCTGTCTCTCTGTCT